AGAGAGAGAGAGAGAGAGGAAAAAAAAAAAAAAAAGAGAGAGAGAGAGAGAGAGAGAGAGATAGAGAGAGAGAGAGAGAGAGAACTTAGCTTTAGCGCGCCGTGGAAGCAAGAGGATAAAGTCACAGAGAGAGTCGGTCGAGAACTCAGAAGAATGGCGGGGCAAGTGAGTCGTCTGGAATAGATGCAACGCGGCCTCCGCCTCTTGTGCGTAGCTGTACTAGCGTAGAAAGAGATGGATCGTCTATTGACCACAGTATAAGAAGAGTCGGAAGTCGAATTGCTGTCGGTGAAGGGAGGCAAAAAGGGCGCGCGCGTGCGGGTGGGAAAAAAATGAGGAAAAGAGTGAAAAGGCGAAAAAAGGCGAAAAAAGCAAAAAAAACGAAAAAAAAAAAAGAAGAAAAAGAAGAAAAAAAACCAATCTTCAGGCGCGTGTGTCCATTTGCAGGTAACACAGTTGCTGCCTACGATCCTAGTCCAGATACTGATTGGTATTCAGTCATTTGGGGGCTGAAACAAACTAGGGGGTATGTGGGGCCGCATCTTAAAACCCGAGTGCAACTTTTTTTTTAGGCCTCCGGTCAGCACCTTGAGGCCTACTCAACAACCCTTCGAATACTGAGCATAATTGGCCCGCATCTCGGTGGGACGTGTGTCTTCTCGAGGTCTCAATTTGTCGATACATGCAGGTCCCATTCTGCTCACTTGTTCCCTTGTTGCATACGTAGTACCTTCTTTCGCGAGTAGTGTCTTTGTCTCCCAGAATACGATCCCAGTGAGTGAGGCATTCAACCCATTCATCCCAACACCCAACAAATCTTGCCGAAAAGCAGCTTAGTGAGTTATCAAAGAAGTAGTCCCAATAACCTCTAATTCGCAACCCCTGCTTGATCGTGATTAGGAAGAGGAACTCAGAAACGGGCATGGTGGCAAAGTGCTTGGCTCTATGCAGAAAGGAGGCGATTACCGCCAGCTTCTGTTGTTTACTAGAGAAGGATTGAAAGTCTTGTATGGCTTGGAAGGAGATGAGGCCTGAGTTCAGCAGCGAGGATTGGTTTATGTAAGTGGGAATACAGCAAGTTCGGAATGGGTGAGGAAGAATCTGTAACTAGCGGCCGAGAAAGTCCCATCTATTGGATGTACTCGTTCTCTCCAGCATGAGATTAGCGTCATAACATGAGGTGAACGCCTGCAGTATCCACCTTGCTTTTTTCTCGGACAGCGGGTTTGGTTTGCTAATTTTCACAAAAACTGATACATCGTCCACTAGGCGTACCCCATGAATGAGAGATCTATCTTTACCTAAAGATGCAAGGAAGTTATACTCATTGAACATGCAGAGCATAGCGGCGAGGGAGGGGCTAGAGGCCTTTCCCATTGGTACACCTACAACCTGTTTGAGCAGGCAATTCCTTGCCATTACATAGGTATGTTTGAGGTCAAAATCGACGAAGTCCTCAATCTGTGAAAAAAGAACATATTTCCATCCTAGAAGGGCGCGACTAGCAGAGAGCTTAGCACCTTTTCCTCTTTTTTTCACCCAGACTCCCTCGAAGCCTTTCATTTGGAAGTGGAGAGAAAACCAATTTACAGCATCGCGGATCGAAGAGTGTGGAAGCTTGCAGAGCATTTCCTTTACATCGAAGTTGACACTCAACAAATCTTCAGATGGTTTAAGGGAGCGGTTGAAGTCTGAGATAGACGAAATGAGATCCTTGGTGCTGAACAGGTTGAAATGCAGGTAACCTGATAGCATCTTGATGACCGCATTAAGACATGCAGTTATCTTCTTGCAGCCAGAGAGGGATGGCTCATCGGAAGTGGGGCAGATAGGGCGCCATCTCTGAGTGTCCTTGTGCTTAGGAAGAGCGTACCCTTTACCTATGGACCCCTTACTATTCCATTTTGCTATAGTATCGAACCCGACGATACGATACCTTGCTTTGCATTCGCGCAGTACATCTTCTACAGGTAGGACTTGCCTAGTAAACCCCTGTTTTTTTATGAACAGTGTGTTCATACCTTCTTCGTAAGTAAAGGGCAGCAGAAGAGGTTGTCGCCCGGATTGTGGTCTAGTGGGACCAAGACCATCCCGTCAAAAATCCTTCGCACCAGTTCTATACTTTGGGGAGTGAAGGAAAGGGACGTGAGAGATTCAAGTGGCAGACCGGTGTGTTTGTGAGAGTAGGGTGAGGAATCACCATCGTGAGAGAGGCTTGAGGTCATGGAAGGTAGTGAGGCCGGGATGTGAGTGAAACATTGACGCAATCAGGAATCATATATATTGAATGTGTTGGGAATTTTTGAGAGACAGGGAATTGTTTTAAGGGTGTCGAGGATTTGGGTCCGGAGGAAGGAGAGAGAATAGTGACGCGTTGGGGGTGGGATATTACGGGAATTTCGAAGCCAGTTGGGTAGAAAGGAGATATCCTTAGCCCGGAAAGAGAGATGTCCATTTTTCGAAGTTAGGCAGGTGAGGTGCGAGGCTAGTATAGATGTTGGAGTCGCAAAAGACGGGGAGGCGGAGGAGGTGGTGGTCAAAGTAAAAAGGTGGGTAGCATTAGAACCGTGCATAACATGAAATCTGTTGACGATTGATTGACAACAACAAACCGATTCATCCATCCTGGAAAAAGAGCGAAAGTTATGTAACGTTTGAGCAATACTTGGATTTTTTACCCATACCACCCGTATCCTACATGACAACATACTTGCAAGCGAAGTCGGTATATTGGCTTCTCGTATGAGTTGTACGCAAAACATTCTTACCTTGGCTTTAGATATGAGGTCGGTATATCATATCCTAAACACGAGTCTTCTACGAGGGGAAATGCCAAAACGTTTCTGAATAACGTTTGATAGTACTACCCTAAGTGTCTGCCTCGAGGTTTTATTGGAAACACACCTAACAGCATCATAAGCATAAAGCAAATTGTCAAAAGACCATTGATACAGAGATTTGCGTTCATTAGGATGAGTGAGCAACCGAATTACAGGTCCCTTAAGCCCTTCAGATCTCGCGCAAAATTTGACAATTGTCACAACATACATGACGCATTTGTCCACCATCCATGCTCTACAATTCTTAAGTTGGCTTCTCCCATGCCTGCTTACTATGATGGATGCGCCAAAAACCCGCTTAATCACCTTCCATGAATCAGTGAGAATGCCTCCTTCCTTGCAAACCAAGGCGAAGGAGGAGATTTTCAATTTCACGTACTCATTAAAGATATATAGTAGTGAAACGGAGTTGATTCCTCCGGATGTCACAAGAAAAGCCACCCGGTCGTGTCCTGCTTCCCTATGTGAGTCTGTAGTACTGTCCACTCTATCCTTTAGAAATTTCTGCTTTCTTTTTGCCCTCTCACATTTGCCTGGTCTACATTTTTTTCTTCCCACGTTTGTTAGAAGCAGAAGGTCTCGAATTAAGATATGGAGAAGCCCATCGGATGAGCACTTTCTCAGCAAGCGGGAGATCAAAGATATGGTGCAACGAAAGTGGGATAGCAACATAGTGGAAGAGACCCACCCTTTTGAACCAACGATAGAGCTTATGGTTACGGACTGAAGGGGTCGCAACTGTGGATTTGGTAACATTTAGTGATCGAGAAACGTGTTCAGACCATCTAGTGTCAAGTGATCGAGTCGTACATCCAAGATATACATGCTTAGTTGAAGGGGAGAGCAGACAATAGACGACGGGTCCAGGGACGAGCCTAAAATCGTAGTCATGTTCAAGTAGACTTACCAATAGATCAGCAAATTTCCATCCCCATGCGACATGCCCAAGAAGGATTAGACCAATAACTGACATTCGATAGAGATAGTTAAGGTGGGGATCCAACAAAGCTACCCTGGACTTACGTAAGGGAAGACAGAGGGTGACCAGGTTCCATAACGATGTAGCGCTCGGGCAGAACCCCTATTCGTCACCTATCCGTTCGTCGTCTTCGATGTTGACGGGCTGGGTTTCCGTTGTCTCCTCGTGAGCATCTTCCTTTACTTCTTCAATTTCAGATTCCGGGGCTGATCGTCCTGCCTTAGCTGCGTCTGGGCGAAAATCGAATGCCAACGACGCCCTATGCTCGGCTATGTCATTCATCGCCTGTTCACAAGTAACAAACGTAATGCCCTCCCTGTTACAGCGTATCTGTAACCCCTGCTTCTTCAATCGCTTGAGGTGCTTCTTCGTTTCTTTGACGAAATCGACTCTTTCTGCTGCAGCCGCATTCGTGGCCAAGCGTCCAGACGTTCTCTTTGGTGGAGAAGGGCGCAGTATGAGATCGTCCAGAGCCTCCTCTTGTTTGTCCTGATGCTCGGGATCATCCTCATCTGTAGCTTCATTCATTCGTCTGGTCAGGTTTGCGTGAGGGGTCCTTCCTTGTCTGACAAGCTTGTCTATTGCCCGCTCGAAACGCTCCTTAAGGGCATGCACCTCTAGATCAGCCGCCCTTTTTCCCTCCTTGACCTGATTGTATGCCTTCAGCAGATTTCGAAAGTCGTGTGAGGTTGGTGTCCCGACTCCTATGACTCGCGGTCTGCCCCGAGGCGCGGCCTTCGGCGGGCTTGCGACGCAGACCCCTCCGCTTGGTCTCTTGGCCCCTGCCGTCGAAGCCTTGATTACTCGCGATAGTTCCTCCATGCTTTTTCTGATACATTCATTGTCCATTCGCAGCTGCTCTATCTGCTTCTGCAACCTTTCCTTCTCGGTATCATCCTCCAATCTCGTCCTTGGCTGCTCCCTTGGTTCCCTTCTCTCGGCAGAGGATCTCGCTGGATGCGTCTTGCCCAGAAACAGATCGCAAGCGTCGTTGATCTTGCTGCCCACAATATTGCTGATTCGTTCCTCGAAGTCCTGCCTTTCCTTCAATTTTCTGAGCGCCTTCTCTTCCGCTTCTCTAACCTTCTTCTTCTCCTCTTCCTCCTTCAGGAGTCTCTCCTTTTCGCGGATGGCCTCCTGACGTGCTTCCAACTCGGATGCCATGAAGTCGTAGGCCCGGTCCAGTTTTTCCCGATTCATCTTCCAGAAAGGCTGCCTTGGGATGATCGCCTGGTTCGTGTTCGTGTTTCCTGACTGAGACACGGAGAGGGATGGAGGAGGGGGGAGCGCAAGAAGAGGGGTTTGGGAGGAAACGGGAGGAGAAATGCCTGATGGTGGTGGAAGTGGTGGAAAGGATGCGGGACGAAACCCATTGGACTGTTCGGAAAGGGAGGCTTGGCGATACGGGCAGTCTCTAGCGAAATGACCCGCCATGTTGCAGTTGAAACACACTCCTCGTAAGGCCATGGTGGTTATCGTGGTGAGCTAAACCGCAGTGGTAACGGGAACTCCGATCCTGTCAGGCAATTCACGACAAACACCGCAAAAAATATGACCAAAGAAATAGTCATTCACAGCGATGAGGCCAAGTGGCTTAGTACCGCCAGTATTGGAACTGAAAAATGAAGAGTGGCGATCTCGATCGCTTAGGCAGATCTATATCGCCTAGCTGATTTAGAGGCTATCTAATCAATATCTTCTACGAAACAGATCATCATGCGAAGCAACCAGTCCAGACATCGCATCATGAGAGATAGGGGGCGGGGAACGGTATAGGTAACGGAGGAGATAAGGAATCGATGGCAAAACAATGAGGTAATCGGTTTAGATGATAGTCGGAAGGGATAGATGAAACAATAGGGATTATCGATGGCAAGGATGATCGAGATAGGTAAACGAGAAGGGTAATCGGGAAAGGAATCTATGAAAGGGAAAGGGGAAGGATAGGATGAAGGGCAAGGGAGGGGAGGGGGAGGGGGAGGGGGGAGAGGGAGGGAGGTGGGTGAAGTGAGTGAAGTGAGTGAAGTGGGTGAAGCAAGCAAGCAACCACGCTAATAGTAGTATAATTCCTACTAAGGTTATTGCTCGAATTACTGAGTATGGCTAGAGCGTAGGGATAGATCTCCTAGCTCAATTGCACGAAGTCATAGGGGTAGAGGGATTATGGACGAAATAAGTAAATTACATATCATATGGATGACATCTCCTCGCTCACCTAGCGCGCGCATTATCACCCTCACGCTTAACCCTTGCTATAGCATAACGAAGTGTTCCATATGATACTTCAGTGAAGATACGAAAAACACGAAGACAGAAGATGGTCTGATCCAACAACCACAACATACAGCGGAGAAACTCCATTTTTCTCAAATGATTAAGCAGAGAGAAGAGGGAACAACCAGTCATTACTCATGCAGACAGGCAATAGGCGAGAGCTAGGGTGATAAGAGACGAGGAGAGAAGAAGAAGAAGAGAAGAAGGAGAAAGAAATGAAGGAGAGAAGAGAGAAAGGAAGGAGGGGTAGGAGGAAGAAGATACAACACGATCGCGAATACTTGAAAGCCCAAGCGCTTAAATCGTTTCAAATAACATGAAGCTCATGAATGACCCCCATTGGGCAAAGCGTCCTGCGTTGAAGGCACAGGAGATCGTCATGCCCTGTGGAAGCCAGCGTCGGCAATCCCGACATGTTTCGACTGCAGCCGACCAGCAGTCATCA